TCTTGGGCAACTGCCTGTTTTCACATTCTCCCTGTGTCTGCGAGGGTTTCCTCCGGGTGCTCCGGTTTCCTCCCACAGTCAAAAAGATGTGCAGGCTAAGTGGATTGGTCATGCTAAATTGCCTGTAGTGTCCAGGGATATGTAGGCGAATGGATTAGCCAAGAGAAATGCAGGCATACAGGGATAGGGTAGGGGGTTGGATTGGGTGGGGTGCTCTTTGGAGGGTCAGTGTGGGCCAAATGGCCCACTCCCACACTGTAGAGATTCTATGATTCTAAAGGACACGGTTAGAGAATAGAGACACATTCATTTAAACAGAGATAGGAGGAAAATTCTTCTCCAAGAGGATGGCAAATATCTGGAAATCTCTATCCCAAAGAGTTGTGGAGGCCAGTGAAAGTGTTTAAAGCGGGGGAGGCGGGTAGATAGATTTTAGAACATAGAACATAGAACATTACAGCGCAGTACAGGCCCTTCGGCCCTCGATGTTGCGCCGACCTGTGAAACCAATCTGAAGCCCATCTAACCTAAACTATTCCATTATCATCCATATGTTTATCCAATGACCATTTAAATGCCCTTAAAGTGGGCGAGTCTACTATTTTTGCAGGCAGGGCATTCCACGCCCTTACTACTCTCTGAGTAAAGAACCTACCTCTGACATCTGTCTTATATCTATCACCCCTCAATTTAAAGCTATGTCCCCTCGTGCTAGCCATCACCATCCGAGGAAAAAGGCTCCCACTGTCCACCCTATCTAATCCTCTGATCATCTTGTATGTCTCTATCAAGTCACCTCTTAACCTTCTTCTCTCTAACGAAAATAGCCTCAAAACCCTCAGCCTTTCCTCATAAGACCTTCCCTCCATACCAGGCAACATCCTGGTAAATCTCCTCTGCACCCTTTCCAATGCTTCCACATCCTTCCTATAATGCGGTGACCAGAACTGTACGCAATACTCCAAGTGCGGCCGCACCAGAGTTTTGTACAGCTGCAACATGACCTCATGGCTCCGAAAATCAATCCCTCTACCAATAAAACCTAACATACTGTACGCCTTCTTAACAACGCTATCAACCTGGGTGGCAACTTTCAGTGATCTATGTACATGGACACCGAGATCTTTCTGCTCATCCACACTGCCAAGAATCTTACCATTAGCCCAGTACTCTGTATTCCTGTGAAAGTGAATCACCTCACACTTTTCCGCATTAAACTCCATTTGGCACCTCTCAGCCCAGCTCTGCAGCTTATCTATGTCCCTCTGTAACCTGCAACATCCTTCCGCACTATCCACAACTCCACCGACTTTGGTGTCATCCGCAAATTTACTAACCCATCCTTCTACGCCCTCATCCAGGTCATTTATAAAAATGACAAACAGCAGTGGCCCCAAAACAGATCCTTGAGGTACACCACTAGTAACTGAACTCCAGGATGAACATTTCCCATCAACCACCACCCTCTGTCTTCTTACAGCTAGCCAATTTCTGATCCAAACCGCTAAATCACCCTCAATCCCATGCCTCCGTATTTTCTGCAATAGCCTACCATGGGGAACCTTATCAAACGCTTTACTGAAATCCAAATACACCACATCAACCGCTTTACCCTCATCCACCTGTTTGGTCACCTTCTCGAAGAACTCAATAAGGTTTGTGAGGCACGACCTACCCTTCACAAAACCGTGTTGACTATCCCTAATCAAATTATTCCTTTCTAGATGATTATAAATCCTATCTCTTATAATCCTTTCCAACACTTTACCCACAACCGAAGTAAGGCTCACTGGTCTATAATTACCAGGGTTGTCTCTACTCCCCTTCTTGAACAAGGGGACAACATTTGCTAGTCTCCAGTCTTCTGGCACTATTCCTGAAGACAATGACGACATAAAGATCAAAGCCAAAGGCTCTGCAATCTCCTCTCTAGCTTCCCAGAGAATCCTAGGATAAATCCCATCCGGCCCAGGGGACTTATCTATTTTCACACCTTCCAGAATTGCTAACACCTCCTCCCTATGAACCTCAATCCCGTCTAGTCTAATAGACTGTATCTCAGTATTCTCCTCGACTACATTGTCTTTTTCCTGTGTGAATACTGACGAAAAATATTCATTTAGCACCTCTCCTATCTCTTCGGACTCCACGCACAACTTCCCATTACTGTCCTTGACCGGCCCCAATCTTACTGTAGTCATTCTTTTATTCCTGACATACCTATAGAAAGCTTTAGGGTTTTCCTTGATCCTACCTGCTAAAGACTTCTCATGTCCCCTCCTGGCTCTTCTTAGCTCTCTCTTTAGGTCCTTCCTGGCTAACTTGTAACTCTCAAGCGCCCTCACTGAGCCTTCACGCCTCATCTCTACATAAGCCTCCTTCTTCCTCTTGACAAGAGATTCAACTTCTTTAGTAAACCACGGTTCCCTCGCTCGACCACTTCCTCCCTGCCTGACAGGTACATACTTCTCAAGGACACGCAGTAGCTGTTCCTTGAACAAGCTCCACATTTCAATTGTGCCCAGCCCCTGCAGTTTCCTTCTCCATCCTATGCATCCTAAATCTTGCCTCATCGCCTCATAATTGCCTTTCCCCCAGCTATAACTCTTGCCCTGCTTTATATACCGATCCCTTTCCATCGCTAAAGTAAACGTAACCGAATTGTGGTCACTATCACCAAAGTGCTCTCCTACCTCCAAATCTAACACCTGGCCTGGTTCATTACCCAGTACCAAATCCAATGTGGCCTCGCCTCTTGTTGGCCTATCTACATACTGTGTCAGGAAACTCTCCTGCACACATTGGACAAAAACTGACCCATCTGAAGTACTCGAACTATAGCGTTTCCAGTCAATATTTGGAAAGTTAAAGTCCCCCATAACAACTACCCTGTTACTTTCGCTCCTATCCAGAATTATCTTTGCAATCTTTTCCTCTACATCTCTGGAACTTTTCGGAGGCCTATAGAAAACTCCCAACAGGGTGACCTCTCCTTTCCTGGTTCTAACCTCAGCCCATACTACGTCAGTAGATGAGTTGTCATCAAACGTCCTTTCTGCCACCGTAATACTGTCCTTGACTAACAATGCCACACCTCCCCCTCTTTTACCACCTTCCCTGATCTTACTGAAACATCTAAACCCCGGAACCTGCAACAACCATTCCTGTCCCTGCTCTATCCATGTCTCCGAAATGGCCACAACATCGAAGTCCCAGGTACCAACCCATGCTGCAAGTTCACCCACCTTATTCCGGATGCTCCTGGCATTGAAGTAGACACAGTTCAAACCACCTTCCTGCCTGCTGGTACACTCCTGCGATAGGGTTGAAACCTTATTTATGACCTCACTACTCTCAACCTCCTGTACACTGGAGCTACAATTCAGGTTCCCACCCCCCTGTTGAATTACTTTAAACCCTCCCGAAGAGCATTAGCAAATTTCCCCCCCAGGATATTGGTACCCCTCTGGTTCAGGTGTAGACCATCCCGTTTGTAGAGGTCCCACCTACCCCAGAATGAGCCCCAATTATCCAGGTATCTGAATCCCTCCCTCCTGCACCATCCCTGTAGCCACGTGTTCAACTGCTCTCTCTCCCTATTCCTCGGATTTTGGAAATATTGGGGAGGTGAGGGCTATGAGGAGCTGGTTATAAAGAGGCGAGGGTCTGGAGCAGGTCAGCCATTGAATGGTGGGGCTATTGGCCAATTGAGGGCCTGAATGACCTCCTCCTGTTCCTATTTCTTATGTCATTCTGTCAGCCAGCTCAGCAGCTTCAAATGAACCAAATGTTCATTGGTTTGACTCTGTTGGCAGTTTGTTAACCTCCAAGTTATACGGCTCTCATTGAGCTAAGGCAAGCTTTCCCAAGCTGTAGGTGGTCTTCTCTCTGTCTCTTTTGTAGCCCTTGACCTGTTGAGAGAGTTGGGTTCCATACACCCAAATATGCCCTGGGTTCAGCAGCAAGGAGTCTTCTAGATGAGCCTGCACTCCACCCATGGTAACACCACGTATTGGCCTTAATAGGACAATGTGTGGGAATGCAAGTGCATGTCAGGATATTGGGAGCGGAGAGGTGAGTTTTGGGGAAAACATAATTGAAGGGGAGTAAAGTGGACAGATATGGAATGCCTAGACTGTCTGAATGATCTTCTTCTGAAAATAAAAGACCGAATACCAGATACTCCATAAACATATTCGCAACCACTCCCCTGCTGGCCTCACACCATTCACCATATGTTTTACATTGACCTGTACTGACTCCAGCCTCAATTCTTGAAACTATTGTCCTTGTTTTTAACATTCAACCATGGGCTCATCCACTCTTCATTTTGCTAACTGCCTCCAACCCTACAGACTCACAGACACGGTGGTCCTCCAATCCTGGCATCTGTCCAGTCACCCATTCCCCTTCATCCCACCATTGGTGGCCATGTTTTCAAGTGCCTGAGTTTGAAAACATTCAAATTCCCTCCCTTAACCTCTCCATCTCTCCCTTTCTCCTTCGTTAAGGCACTCCTTTAAGACTCACCTCTGACTAAGTGCTCGGTCACCAGTCCTAATATTTCCTGGCCAACATTTACATCCACTCCAACAGATCACCTGCTTGTCCATCGCATCACTGCCATGGGATCTTGCTGTGTATGAGTTGCTGCCACGTTCCCAATGACTGATTCATCGCGAAGCCACAAAGTCACAAATGGTGCTAGGCAAATGCAAACCCTTTCTTGACATGGCTCGCTGCGAATTTTGTTGAATAAATTTTGGCCAGGAGACTGGAGAATACCAACCTGCTCTTCTTCCAATGGCCATGGCATCTCTGGCGTCCATTGGGTGAGATGAGACAGGACCTCGGTGTGATGTCCCATACAAAATAAGAAGGCAGCTACAACAGTGCAGCACTTCCTCAGTGCCGTGCGGGAGCACCAGTCTAATTCTTCACCCAGTAACTGCCCCTCAGCTGACAGTCATCTTTCGGCACTAGCCACCACCATCACTTACTTCTCAACTCGCCCACGTCTCCTTTCATTCGCTCGTTTTTCTCCACCGTACGTTCAGCCGAGCTCAGGCCCTGCTCCAGCCTCTGCAAAGCTTCCTCCGCTTCTTGCAGTCTACGTTCCAGCTCTGCACGGGATTTAATCTCCTCCTAGCAGAGGGGAGAAAGGAAGAAAAGGTCAACTTTCGTAAGAAAGAGCTGGCGACATCTGGGGCCCAAAACAATCCATCTTTCTGTCACTTCGTCCGTGTCTAACTCTTCCTCAGTTGATCCTCTTAGTTTTGACTCACCTGTCGCTCAGCACTACACTGGCAAACCCATGTTACAGTTATCAGCAAGAAAATCCCAAAGCCAAACTCTGGGCAGTTCCCTCAATACTGCCTGCTTCCCAGGCACAACATTCCTCCACGAGTGAGCTGCTACTTTCCACTCTGCTGACTTGTTTCCTCTCCACAGTGCTCCCTGTATCCCGACAGCTTTGCATTTTACTGACCCCACACTGTGAAAGCTCCATCATTGCTCCCCTCTCCCTCGGAAATTTGGCTGCCTGCTGTTAGCACAGATATTCCTCTAGTTGCTCAAGGATTGGGTGTGGCTTTTCCCAGGTTGTGTGACCGCAGGCTATTCGGCTGAATGGGGCATCATGGCACATAGAATCATACCGTATTCACACGGTCCGGAAGTACGGATCACAACCAGGCATAGCCTGAACAAGTGTGTAATCTCGGGGATTCTGGTGTAGTGTGGGAGTTCAGCGCAAAGGGAAGAGATGCTTCCCCCCGACCCCCAACTTTTTTGTTGATTCATAGTTTGTAAAGTTTTTTTTAACAGGATAAATTGAACCTGAGGATCGGGAACCGAGCACAAAGCATAGGAAAACCAGATTGTGGAGACACTCACCAGGAAGCAGAATATCACAGTGGAGCCTGTGGGGGAGGAGCTTGTGCTGAGCAGTGAGCAATAAAAATAAATATAGAATTTCATTCTGGACAGGGGTAAACAGCCCTGGAAACAGTGAGGTGATTGGCTGCTTAGGAACCAGCTTCAGGGAATGAGAAAGTAGTACAGTGGTTTGTAGTTTGTCACTAAGAAGGACAGTGTGAGAAATTTAATTTGGTGAGTATTGGGTAAGGTTGAATAAATTGCTCCTAGTTTTATCATTTGTAGTCGGTAACGCACATAATGGCAGGAGAGCTTGGCCCCGTGGAGTGCTCCTCCTGCAATAAGTGGGGAATCAGGGGCACTTCCAGTCTCCATGACTATACGTACGTGGGAAGTGCGTTCAGCTGCAGCTCCTGATTTGCCGCATGGAGTGCCTGCAGCTGTGATGGAGCTCACTATGGAGCATCCCTGAAGCTGAGAACATCATGGAAAAGCACATTTAGCGAGCTGGTCATGCCACCAGTAAGGACTACACAGAGAGAGGAGAGTTGGGTGACCACTAGAAAGACTAGTAAGTGTGGGGAGGCAACTCAGGAGTTGACTGTGACCATCTCCTTCTCAAAAAGACAGACCAAGTTAGGGGGTAGGCATTGGTGTCTCGGGGGAAGCAGCAGCAGCTGGGTTTGTGGCACCAGAGTTAGTTCTACTACCCAGCAGGGGAGGACAAAGACTGTGAGAGCTTCAGTGACAGGGGACTCAATTGCAAGGGGAGCTGACAGGGGGGTCTGTGGTGGCAAATGAGACTCTCAAATGTCATGTTGCCTCCCTGATGCCAGGGTCAGGAATGTCTCAGAGTGGCATTCTGATGAGGGAGGGTGAACAGCCAACAGGTCATGGTAAGAGTTGGTGCCAATGATATGGGTAAGGAAAATGATGTCCTGCAACAGGAGTTTAGAGAGCTGGGTAGTAGATTAAAGAGGTAAACTACTGGGGTTGTAATCTCCAGATTACTCAACTAGACTCACCACATAAACACAGTGGCTACAAGAGCAGGTCAGAAACTAGGAATAATCCTCCTGACTCCTCAAGGCCTGTCCACCGTCTAACAGGCACAAGTCAGGAGTGTGATGGAATACTCCCCACTTGCCTGGATGAGTGCAGCCCCAACAACACTCAAGAAGCTTGACACCATCCAGGACGAAGCAGCCCGCTTGACTAACACTACAACCACAAGCATTCACTCCCTCCACCACCGATGCTCAGTAGAAACCGTGTGTACGAAATGCACTGCAGAAATTCGCCAAAGATCCTCAGACAGCACCTTTCAAACGCACGACCACTTTCATCCAGAAGGAGAAGTGCAGCAGATACATGGGAATATCACCCCCTGCAAGACCCCTCTCCAAACTACTCACCATCCTGACTTGGAAATATATCACCATTCCTTCACTGTTGCTGGGTCAAAATCCTGGAATTCCCTCCCTGCTGGAATTTTGGGCCAATCCGCAGAAGGTGGACTGCTGCGGTTCAAAAAGGCAGCTCACCACCACCTTCCCAAGGGCAACTAGGGACAGGCAAGAAATGCTGGGCCCTACCAGCGATGCCCACATCCCACAAAATGCATAAATAAAAAAAATTACTGTCGAGCCATGTGCCACTGAGTGCAGGAATAGGAAGGTAGATCAGATGAAGGCGTGGCTGAAGGGACAGTGTAGGAAGGAGAGCTTTAGACTTTAGGATTGTTGGAACACTTTCTTGGGGTAGGTGGGACCTGTACAAGCTGGACAGATTGTACCTAAACTGGAGTGGGTCCAGTATCCTTGATGGAAGGTTTGCATGGGTAAGTTTTAAACTGATCTGTCAGGGGATGGAGCACAGAACAGACGTAAAGTCAGGAGCAATGTTGAATCAGATATAGAAGGAATACTAGGATACTCCAGTAGATGAAGAAGGATAAGGCATATATCTATTTTAATGCAAGGAGCCTGATTGGTAAGGTGGATGAACTTACAATTGATCAGCACGTGGGAATATGATGTTGTTGCAATCACTGAGACATGGTTGAAGGAAGGACAGGACTGGCAGCTCAACATTCCTGGGTATATAAGTTTCAGGGATGATGGGTGGATGTAAGAGAGGTGGGGAACATTGCATTATTGATAAAGGAAACCATCACTGCATAAATGAAGGAGGATGTCTCAGAAGGATCTTCAAATGAGGCCATCTTGGTAGAGCTTAGGGGCAATCACTTTACTGGAATTATACTACAGGCCTCCCAATAGTCAGAAGGAGATAGACAGGATCATAGAATCCCTAAGGTGTGGAAACAGGCCATTTGGCCCAACAAGTCTGCACCGCTCCTCTGAACAGCATCCTACACAGACCCATCCCCCTACCCTTTCCCCGTAACCCTGCATTTCCCATGGCAAACACACCTAATTTACACATCCCTAACACTATTGGGCAATTTAGTACGGTCAATCCACCTAACCTGCACATCTTTGGCCTATAGGAGGAAAGCTGAGAACCAGAGGAAACCCACACAGACATGGGAAGAACGTGCAAGCTCCACACAGACAGTCACCTGAGGCAGGAATTGAACTGGGGTCCCTAGCACTGTGAGGCAGCAGTGCTAACCACTGAGCCACTGTGCTGCCCCTTACAAGTTTGTAAGGAGCAGATATGTAGGCAAATCACAGATGGTAAGGGCGTGGAATGCCCTGCCTGCAACAGTAGTAGACTCGCCAACTTTAAGGGCATTTAAATGGTCATTGGATAAACATATGGATGATAATGGAATAGAGTAGGTTAGATGGGCTTCAGATTGGTTTCACAGGTTGGCGCAACATTGAGGGCCAAAGGGCCTGTACTGCGCTGTAATGTTCTATAGTCTATGTTCAGTATCAGGGATTTTGCTAACATCAACTGGGATTGCCTTAGTGTGAAAGGATTAGACAGGATGGAATTTTTAAATTGCATCCAGGAAAGCTTTTTGTGCCAGTACGGAGACAGTCCTACTAGAGATGGAGCAGTGTTAGACCCAATCCTAGGGAATCAAGAGTTTGAACTATCAGTGGACAAACATACTGGGGATAGTGACCATACTCTGTAAATTTGTCTAAATTGGAGGGAGGCCAATTTCAATATCATCAGACAGGATCTGACAAACATGGACTGGGAGCAGCTACTTGCAGGTAAGTCTAAATCTAGAAAGTGGGAGTTTTGAAAAAGTAGTAATATAGTGAGGGCCAAGCATGATCCTCTAAGATTGAAAGGCAAGGACAGCAAGCCAGGGGATATCGAGAATTCGATGATGGAAAAGGAAGAAAGCGTACGTCAGGTACAGAGCATTAAAAACAGGGGAGGCTCTTCAAAAGTATAGTGTTTGTAGAGGGGGCTCAAAAAATGAAATTCAGAGAGCAAAGAGTGTTAACAAAATCTTTGGCAGATGGAATTAAGGAAAGCTCCAAAGCATTTTAAGAGCAAGAGGGTTACCAGGGAATGAGTGGAACCTATTGGAGACCAAAGGAGCAACCTTTATGTGGACCCAGAGGATTTGGTTGAGGTCTTCAATGAATGTTTCTCTTATGTATTCACAGAGGAGAAAGACATTGTAGCCGGAGATTTCAGTGAGGTTCTAGAGCATATTAAAGATTAATATTAGATATCAGACATTAGATGTCATATGGGTTGTTGTTTGTTATTGGAGATTATTGTGGCCGGAGAGGATCTGAAAATTACTGCTAGGGCCCGTGATACCCCCTGCCTTGCCTCCTTCAACAGCCTGGGACAGATCTCATCTGGAATTGCAGATCTATCCACTTTTAAGGCTGCTAAGACCATCTCTCCCTCTCTGTTAATTTCTCCGAATATTTCACAGTCCTCCATCCTGACGTCTGCAACTGCATCATCCTTTTCTGTTTGGAAGTATTCATTGAAGGTTATCCCAATGTTTTCTGTGTCAATGCACATATTACCTCTGCAGTCTCAAATGGGTCCTATCTTTCCCTATTAGTCTCTTGCTTTTTACGTATTTAAAAAACACCTTTGGGTTTCCACCATTCTTCCCCCTCCAATGCTTTCTCATGCATCTTCTTAACTTTCTTAATTTTATTTTTAAGTCCTCGCCTGCAATTTTAATTTTTTCCTGCCTTTTTTGTACTCCTCTAGGAACCTAGTCATATTGAAACATCTGTATCTGCCATAAGCCTCTCTTTTTTCTCTTTAACCTTAACCTTTCTCCCTTGGTATTCAGCATTCTCCAGTCT